TTCTCCTTGTTAAGACCTCACCTGTCCATAATTAACTGTAAATCCTCGGGTACTTCAAAGTCTTAGGGTGCGCATGATAACCTTTCTGAAATTAATTTTGTTTTTAATTTCTATTTTCGGGAACAGAAATAGATAGAATACTCGTTTGGTAAAATCGATTTATTTTTTTGTTCCCGAGATGAACCGGATTAATTTTTGTGCTGGGAAAAGAAAAAAGAATCAGAAAATTTTTACTTTTTTGTTCTCGGACACAAAATGAAAAAAATTTATCTCTCTTAATCACTCTTCATCTCTACCATCACCACCACAACCATCATCCCAACACGACCACCGCCACCATCGTCGTTGCCGCCATCGTACCACTAGTGTTGTCGTGACCATCCACCACCACCACGATGCCACTGCCACCACTACCTCCACCCATCAGTACTACCATGCCGCTACCACCACCACCACAACTACCACCGCTACAATCACCATCACCACTGCCGCCATCAACCACCACCATTATCATCGCAACCATTGCCGCCACCATCACCACGTCACTGTGTAGGGTTTTAGATCCAGAAGAGGATATAAAGAGAGAATTAGAGAAGGAGAAATTGTAGAGAGAAAAGTTGTCCAGCAATTTTCTGAGTTTTCTTTTTTTATTTAATTTCATTATATATTCTTCCGGTAACCAAGCTTAATGACATGGGTTAACCAATTACAAAAATGATAACCCAATTACAGTAAGTTGGATTCAGTAACACAGATTAGCCCATAACAAAATCCCTATAGCGTTTGGGCTTAACAATCTTCCTTTGGGTTCTGATAGGTCCTTTGGTGAAGTGGGCTTGTGGGCCTGTGACATCATGGTCCACTACTGCCACCACTACTACCACCACACCATCATCATCACCAACTCTTGCACCAATCACCACTATTATTGTTGCAGCCACCACCGACACCGACACCGCGCTGCCACCAACCACCACCACCATTGTTACAGCCACTACCATCACCACCATCGCCACCATTACACCACCACCGCCATCATCATCATCACCGCCACCACCACTATCACCTATCACCTCTGCCACCGTCGCAGCTACTGCCACCACCACCACCATGCCACCGCTACCATTGTCGTCGCCACCAACCACCAACCACCATCCCCACCACCATTGTCGCAGTCACTGCCGTCACCTCCACCACCACCATCCCCCCCACTACCATCGTCGCCGCCACCACCACCACCCCTGCCACCACCACCGCCACAACCGCACCATATGGAAAGGAAAGTGATGATCCGAAATTTTTTTATATTTAATAGAAATTTTTTTTATTGTATTATTTGTTATGTTTTCAAACGCAATTCTCATTTTCAGAATAAAAATATAACATGTTATCAAACACATTTTTTTCTCAGAAACTGTTCCAAGGAACAGAAATAGAAAAAAATTATTTCTTTTCAGAATCAGTGCTAGGAAATAGAATGGTTGTCATGCACACCCTTAATGATCAGGAATTAAATTTTTTTAAAAGGATGACTTTCGAATAGAAACAAACATACACAAAGAACTATGCATAACAAAGAATTTTACTTTTGCGAAATAAAATGAAAGCATCCTAATACTACGTTAGAATGCATTTAGATTACTTTATTTTGTGATTAATACTAGTTAGTTGACGTAAAAATATATAATGTTAATGAGAAAACTTTATATATAATATTAATAATGTAAATTTTAAAACGGTCACTTCAAAGAATATTTTACTTTATTATGGATTGAGATGTTCTTATATATATATATATATATATATATATATATATATATATATATATATATAGGGTTTTCTTAGTCTCATTTAACATAAGATAGTTATCTTATGTTGTAGAGAGAAAATAGGTGGGTCCCACCATTATAAGAAAAAAAGAAAAAGGTAGGGTACGAAAATCGAAGTGAGAGAACATGAGAGAAGATATCTTATGTAAAAGAAGAGTAATATTTCCCATATATATATATAGAGGCAAGATCCTTTGACACCAGTGTCAAATTTGAAATTTGGCATCTCATCTGAAAGCCATTAGATCAAAAAAGATCAATGGTATCACATGCTTACAAATCAAAGTCGTTGATCTTTTTTTGATCTAATGGCTCTCAGATGAGGTGTCAAAATTCAAATTTGACACTGGTGCCAAACAATCCTACCCCACATATATATATATATGGGGTTTGCATTTATCATTTAACATGACACAACAAAGTTTTCTACACACACAACATTTTGTGGGGCCCACACTTTTTGAAGCAAAAAAAAAAATTGCGGCACGCAAAACGAATCTCTATAACATTACACAATCATTTTTTTTACAACATAACTCTTATAAAACCCTATATATATATGGGAAAACATTTATGTAGCCACTTTAGATGAGGTTGTCTACAGCTACCCTTTTTAACTAAGTACGACCAGTCGTACATTAAAAGTTCATTTTCTCTCTCCGCCACGTCAGCTGACAGTGTCTGAGGAGAGAGAGAAAAAGAGCAGCTTTATTGTTATAACTAAGTGCGACCGGTCGTACTTAGTTAAAAAGGGGTAGCTATAGATAACCTTATCTAAAGTGGCTGTAGAAATACTTTTTTCATATATATATATATATATATATATAATATCATTTTAATTGACATAATGTTATGTCATTTTAAAAGAGATATAGACACAAAATATTATTTTTATTTAAAATTTAAATTAAAAAAAAATCACTCATTCTCTCTCCTGTGATTTCCATTCCTTGTTCTATCTCTCTCCTAAAATGACATAATTATGTCATTTAAAATGACAAAAATCAAACCCATATATATATATATATATATATATATATATATATATATATATAAAGGGAAAAACTATTCTTATGTCACATGACATAAGTTTTCTCTCCTACACACCCTTCGATAACTGTGCCACCTTTTTTCTTTTCTTTTATTTTATTTTTTCAGGTGGTGGAGCCCACTAGTTTGTCTCTATGACATGAGATAACTATCTCCTTTAACATGAGATTAATAAAACCCATATATATATATATGGGAGAAGTTATAGTTACAACCTTTTTTTTTACAACCTCTTACAACCATATATCATAACCGTTGATTTCCGCCAATCAACGATTGTGATTTTCGCAAATTAAATTCATTAATTAATTATTAATTCATAATAAATGACAACCGTTGATTGACGGAAATTAACAGTTATGATATATGGTTGTAAGAGGTTGTAAAAATAAAAGGTTGTAAGTATAACTTCTTATATATATATATATATATATATATATATATATATATATATATATAAATTTCAGGTCTTTCTCATAAAAAAAAATACAAAATCAAGTCTACTAAAACTTACGCAAAAGAGAAACCGTAAGGGGGTGTTTGGTTGAAGGATTTTTGAGATTTTCCTAGATAAATGAAGTTTGGTTTTTAGAAAACCAATGTTTGGTTCAACAGGTTTTGATCAAAACCCTTCTATGTGAAATGCATGGCTTCTTGAGAAAGATAGTAATTTGCATTGTTTAGAAACCCGATTTGAGTGTGGTTTTTTGAGAAAATCCGGGTAAAGCACTGTTGACACATTTTTTGTCATATATTTCACTGGTAAATTTTGTCAAACCAAACTACTTTTTTTTAACTTCTCCATCTATTCAACTTTCCCTATGAATACCTAGTAATTATATTTCTCTAGTATTTTTAGAATTTATCTTCAACCAAACGCCCCCTAAAAGAATATCACGAGAAAATCCAAATATACATACCCATCACTCCTAAGTCCTAACTTAAAAATTTAAATTTTAAAATGATTACTTTAAACTTTTTTACCTAGGTACTATTATGAGTCGCAAAATTTAATCTCAAAATAAAAATACCTTTGATAAAAAAATCAGTTTATATTTACTATAACTTATAACTAAAATCATTCTCTCTTTTTTTTCATTATATATTTAAAAATTGGGATAATAAAAAATGAATTTAATGTTAGATAAATTATTTACATTTACCTGTAAAATAATATCGTTTTGCGTCGAAAGATTAAAAAATTATAATGAGAAATACTATTATAACTTTGAAATAAATTATAATTATAAAAATTTATTGATTTTTGTCCCATAACAATATTATTTTAGACTCAATATAAATAACTTATCTACATTAATTACAGAAAAAATAAACTCATAAAAATGAAACCCAAGCCGATACTTGTTGCTACTATCTGCTTCTTTAATCTCTTTGCCTTTGCTGCTTTTAGAGTATATATGCTGTATTAAAAAAAGTCTGTGCATTTCTCATTTAATATGAGGTTAAAAAAATTCCTACACATATATAATTTAAATGAGTCGCACTATAAATAAATAAAAAATTATTCATAAAATGATCTCTCACTAAGATGAGAAAATAATTCTCCTATTAAAGAAGAAAGTGTTTTCCCTTAAAAAAGAGAAAAATGATTGTCGTTTTAATTTTATTTTTTTTAAAGTTTGTCTATAACTTTATGTAATTTTAATAATTTATAATTATATATTATCTATATAAGGATAATATATAATTATAATATTAATTTTTTTTAATTTTTCATATCAACAAATTATATGAAAAAATATATAATTTTAATATTATAATTATATACTCTTAGTATATAATTATAAATTAATAAAAAGATATAAATTACTTCATTTAAAGGGAAATATTTTTTTATGTTATAGGAAAATAATTACTTTATGTTGTAAAAATAAAATTATAAGTAGGACTCACGGATAAAAAAAAGAGAAAAAAAGAGTAATGAGATTCACCCCTATTTTATACGTGTAGAAAAATTATTTATCTCATTTAAAATAAAATAAATATAACCAACGTTTCAAGCTACAAATCATTTCTCCATAAAAAAGAGAGAGTATTCTATGCATTTCTGGACAATACTACCCTCCTTTGAGGTAAATGTTAAAACTACATAAGCAAGAAGCAAGTTCCGTCTCTCTCTCTCTCTCTCACACACACACTCTCTCTGCTGTGTTGATCGTTTGTACAACCCTTATCTGTGTTTTCCAATTGCATGCGGAGCTGGGTTTTTCTAGGTTTTCAATAAGCTGAGCCTGAGGTGAGTCACACGTTTCTTTTATTTATTTATTACATTTTCTAATTTGAGTCGATGGGTTTCGTAAATTTCTCGTCTTGAGTTTGGATTCTGTTAAATCTAGAACTGGGGGTCAATTCGGATTTTTCTATGTTAACTTACCGTGCATTTTGTGGGTGTGCGTCAGAATCTCGTCTTTCTGAAATTTTGGGATTGGGTGAGAGGCGTTGAGAAAATCAATTTCAACTTTTTTTATTTTTTGGTTATTGCAATGTGGTTGAAGATTTTGTCATTGTTGGGAAGTGAAAATTGTGATTCGCCTCTTGTATCTCTGACTGGTGTGCTTTTTCTAATGCGTTTAAATTATCTTGTCTTATGTTGTTTGTGGCATGACACAAAACTGGCTTCTTTATAGATGAGTTCAGAGGGTTATATAATATTACTGGAAAAACTGGAAGTGAGTTGAATCGAAATAAATTCAACATCACTTGGATTTGTAACAATATTGTAGCTCCAACTTTTAAGACTCTGGAGCTTGTCTAGCTTTTGAATTTTCTTGTAAGCATAATTGCCAATATGTTTTGCGGTTATGCCTCATTCCGTTTGTGTATTGCTCCATCAGTGTTAGGTTCTTTCACTCAGTTAGGAATTCTTGGCGTATATAAACTTGCATCCTTCATTTTCTGTTTGGAGAGAATCAGAGAGAAAATGAGAAGAGAGATTGTGTTTTGTGAAATGTATGACTCGTAAGTAATTGAAGTAACAGTACACTGGAAGGAGATGAAAGATTTTTTTTTTTCTCTGTACCAACTTTTGAGTACTTTAGAAATCAGATGAATTCTTATGTGGTATGTGCTTAAGATTTATAACTTCAAAATTATTATTCTGCATTAAGTTTGTATTGGTCTCATCAGTTGTCTTATATTACCTGATTACCGCGAAATATTTAATTAAGAAATCTGGTGTTTAGATTTTGTCGAATTTATGAATACCCTAAAATATTCCAACAGAGGGTTGTTATAAATCTGGTCTCATCAGTTTTGCCAGGTGAAGAAAATGATTCTCAGAAAGCAGTACCGATGCATACACTCAGTTAGCTGTCAATGCACTATAGGGCATTTAAGTGAAGAAGTGATATTCTTAGTATTTCACCATTTAAATTGGAATCCCAAGCTAATTGCTACTCTGTCATGTGTGTGCAAATGGTTTGATGATTTTGCCAAGCGAGTTCTGTGGAAAGAGTTTTGTAGAACAAGAACTCCAAAGATGATGCTTGATCTGCAATCTAGTGGTAGTCACAGCGTTGATGGGAACTGGAGAGCCCTAGGGAAGCTGCTTATATACTGTTCAGGATGCAAAAAAGGTGGCTTGTTCAATAGCACTCATATCCCTGGTCATTTTGTTTATCAGACTCGATTTTCTAGAACTTCAGGAAGGAGCTTTCTTTTGCCACAATGTAGAACTGATGTTTTATATGTGTGTGATCCTTGTGAGCATCTTGACCAAGGTGAAGAAGGAGATATAGGATTCTTCCGTGGAGTTTTTAGGTCATTTTCAACTTCGAAGGTCAGGAAGATGCTTATTAAGAAAAGTGCCAAGCTCCATCCAACAGAAGTGTGCCCTTATTGTAAGGCAAAGTTATGGAGCATGCTACAAGCCAAAATGATCCCTCAAAGTGCTAGTTGCAGGTTGGGTTCCTATGAAGATTGTGTCGAGTATTATGTATGCCTAAACGGTCACATGCTTGGGATCTGCACCCTATTACCATTGTCTGATTCAGAAGGAGCATCTGAGTTGGAGTAATATAAATGATTCAATGGTATTATTTCCTTGTATCTGGGAAACCATAACTTTCTCTCCTGTTTATGATTTCCTTTTTTATTTAAATATAAAATGAAAATTAATGCTGGAAATCTTTTGTACATAGAAAGATGATTTTAATCTTACTTTCCATTATCTAAATTGATGTGATTTGTTTTGATCAAATAATGCCAACTCAACATATTAACGACGAAAATGAATTTTTTCCTCTTATCTTGTTTACTGTTTATAAATCTCATTGATTTTTTTTTTTTATTTGTGAACATCATCAATGATTTCAAACAAAATATCAAGGTAGTTGAATTAAACAGAAACATTTTGAGCATTCAAATGATTATCTTATCACCTATTTATTATAATTTATAAAAGTAGCCATTCTTTCATCTAAAAAGAAGAAGAAAGTTTAGCTTCTTTCCAATTTTGATTTAGATCTCTTTTCTCGCAAAGAAGTCTCGTTAAGTTTTTTAATTTATTATAATTTATAAAAGTAACTATTCCTTGCAAATCTTTATACATTATCATCATCTATTTTTTATGATATAAATATTTTCTTTCTCTCAAAAGTATGATTGATTATTTTAATTGATTTTTCTGAATAATTTTAAATGGAATAATAATTAGTAAAAGCATCAAAATATAAAAAGTTTTGTTAAAAATATACATTTGGAAATAATGTAGGATAATATGAACACACAAGTAGTCTCGAATTTGAGTCTTGAGTATGTAAGTATATTAGAAATTTAGTAGGAAAAACTTTGCCTCCCTTATGGTCTATGGTCCTGTCTGACTCAATCAGATTAGTCGATTAATTGATGAACCAGTGAAAGAATTTCAAAAGAAATATATATATACATATAAAGACACACACACACACAAACACACGAGTCCACAACAATAAAATTTTAAAAAATATACATTCACAATACTGATACAACTCTTGCAAACAAAATTGAATGAAAGGACAGTATAACCATAAAAAATCATGTAGAAAAATTGTAACACCTTGTTCTAGAACTGGTTTGTTAACATTATGTATGACATTAGGCGCAGTTACAATCACAACAATTGAATTAAAGTACAGATAAACTTTTTCCTTTTTTATTTATAAATGTTTCTGTTTTAAATCAATTGCGTAATTAAAACAATTCCAATAACTTAATCATAATTTAAACTATGTGTGGAATACCTAATGTAATTTTATTTAGACCATATGTTACTACCATAGTGTGCCAAGTAGTCCCCTTAGACCAACAAGGCTTAAGAACTCATTTTTATAGTTATTCAACACTAAATACCTCCACTTTTTATTTACTTAAAGGAATTTTATACTACTTTTAAGGTCCTCATCTCCCAATATGTTGTAGATCTCTTTGTTAGCTACACGTGGGTTCAAACCGCGCTCAATTCGGAGCACCGTAGCTTAAGTTATGGGTAAAATACCAAAGTATAGTGAAATCTCCAGAACCGTGGCGCTTTTGGCCCCCACCAAATAGTGGGTTGGCGTTATCAGTGCCAAGTTAACAAACCGGTTCAAGAACAAGGTGTTACATTTTAGTGGTATCAGAGCAGGGCCTCTCTTCTAGTACGGTGTGGTTCGAGGACGAACCAACCTGAAGCTGGTGGGCGTGTAACATCCCGAGCGCTGACGAGGGCGGGGATTGATCACCGGTGCGCAAGGGCATAGACAAGGAGTGGCTCCTGACAGGCTTCCAACAGTGGGGGTATATGAATAAATCGAATTAACATCCGAAAGAAAGAGATTCCAGATACTGTGCTGGTATAGGACAGTACAGTTGAGGATGACTTATAAGAATTAATTTGTACTAACTATACTAACAAAACGCATATACTTTTCGGTAGCCCATAATGGAAGAACTCCATAGTTAAGCGTACTTGACTTGCAGTAATTCTGGGATGGGTGACCTCCTGGAAAGTTTCTCGAGAAATGTGCGAGTGAGGATAAAACATGCTGAAAAGTCATGTGTTAGTGTGTGGGGATAATCATTGATTCTTGAAGCGGCCGGGCTGAGGCGGACATTACAAAAACTAACTAATGAACCTAAATTGGAAGAGAGATATCTTATTTCAATGCCTTTGAATGTATTAAAAAATGATCACAAGTCATAAATTCGTGGACAAGCGAAAAACCAGCATGCCGTCAGTAGACACCACCACCTTCCAACAAAAAAGTTTAGTTTGCTCTTCAATAGATGACTTCCTTCACCTACTCATATTTTGATGGACTGGTATACTCGGTTCCATTGTCCAATGAAGTTACATCAGATGAAGCACTAGATGACATAGCACTACCTGCAGCAACAGCATTGTGATTGCTTTGATTTCTCCGAGGGTTGTTCGTTGCAGGGCTATGTCCCTCATCTGCTAGTTTTTTTATAAGGTTCATGATGGTTGGAATAAACTTGGTAGACAAGGATATGATTCCCGGAAGCTGAAAGAAAACATTAAGAGTACTAAACACATACAGCAAACACAGAGAAACAGTTGACAAAGAAAGGCATAGAAATTATACATAATTATGACTAGTGTACATAAACTGTAGATATAGTTTCAGTAAACCATTCCAGGCGTATATAAAACCTTAGGGGTCTGTTTTTCACTAGGTATCAATTCTAAATTTAAATGATAAATGCAAGTTATCAAGCATCCAAGTACGAGCATGCCCAAACGCCTAACTGTTTATTATCCCCTAACCCCCTTTTTTAAAACTAAAATCAATTACAATCCAGAAATGTCACATTTCATAAAAAAAACATTTAAGTAAATATTTTTCATCCAGTAAAATAAATGAGTTTTTAATCTTTCCTGAAGATGAATAATACCTAACCTGAAAATACCCCAACAGTTGAACCCTACTGAACATATATAGCTGCTCATTAGCTGAACTAGTTAATGCTTGTTAAAGTTCAGAACCAAACTCAATAAACAGGCTAGAAAAACCTAACAACAATCATAAATTTTAGGGAATGAACAACAAATCATAAAGATACTCACAGCTCCATGGCGAAATTCACCCTTAATGTCAAGCTGCGCCCAAAGGGCTTTAATGAGAAGAAAACCAACAAAGATGACACCCAAATACAAGGGATTTCTGTCATAAAGAATAAGAAACTTGGGTGAGACCATTTAAATAATCTGACAAAAGTAAAGAAATTTCCTTGGGTTTGTGCTTTAAGCAACATTTTTATGTTCTTGAAAATGCAATCCAATAGTTAATATCAAACACATTATAGAAGGCTGCCCTGGTACCCTTCCTTTTCATGAGGGTACCGATAGTCCTTAACAATTTATATTCTAAAAACCATTTGCTTTTTTATACTCTTCAACTATTAGGTATTGTTGAGATATATAAAATCATTAATGTAACCTCACCCAACAGCTTAAGCTTTTGGGTTGAATTGGTTCTTTACATGGTATCAGAGCCTCGTGTCCCGGGTTCGATTCTCGCCGCCCCCCACTTTTTTTCAAGTGGAATTTCTTTGTTCGCACAGGTAGGTGGGCCTGTGCATTGTCCACCCTTCAAGCCCAGTGGGCCCTCGTGTGAGGAGGCGTGTTGAAATATATAAAATCATTAATGTAACCTCATCCAACAGCTTAAGCTTTTGGGTTGAATTGGTTCTTTACAGGTATTAATAATGTAGGCTCTTTCGTATTTTGCAAATGTTAAATCTGTCCAGTGTGTTTGGAGCACTTTCATATATGTCATTCCAGAGGTTTTGGGAGAAGTATAGAGGGAAAAGCCCTTAGGCAGTTTGCAATATATGCTGTTAATTGATCACATGGTTGGACAACAAAGGAAGAATTTACAAAGATAAGTTTTAGCTCTGTGTTTTTAATGAGATAAAGTGGTCTTTTTGGCCTCATGGTGCTCACCCAATGATTATGCTAAAGGGTTTCAACGGAGAACATGCAGAAAATTCCTTACGAACAAAGGAGATAGATGGAGAGTTACCAGCAAATAAAAACAGAGACTTAGGGCTTGTTTGAAATCCATTTTCAAAAACAGTTTTTTGATTTTTACAACAAAAAAACCCGTTTGATAAGGCCTGTTTTGTAAAACAACATTAAAAAATTGTAACTGTTTTTTTGTTTTTAGAATCAAATTTAGAGAACATGTCTGAGTTGTTTTTGTTTTCTATTTTGGTTTTTAACTTTCAAAACAAAAAAAGCATAGAAAACAACTGTTTTCATAACTATTCTACAAAACAGTTTTAAGAATAAAAAAATGAGAACACAATCAAACAAGATGGTCTGTTTGATTGTGTTTTGTGTCTTTTTTTTTTGTTCTTAAAACTGTTTTGTAGAATAATTAATGAAATAAGTGTTTTCTATGTTGTTTGTCTTGAAAGTTAAAAGCCAAAACACAAAACAAAAACAACATTTCTCAAAATTTGATTCTAAAAACAAAAAACAGTTACAATTTTCAAAACTTTATTTACAAAACAAGCCTTATCAAAGAAGTTTTTTTGTTCTAAAAATTAAAAAATTGTTTTTAGAAACACTATTCAAACAGGCCCTTAATTCTTCTAAAGGAAAAAATTAGAAAGATCTGAGATATGTTGACATGCACCTTAGAAGTGTCATAAATTCATTAAATCCCAGAATAACCAAAGCAACGATTGCCCATGGTGGGGGTAACCAATTGCTATTACGATTGTTAGCCTCCTGAAAATTAAAAAGAAATTACATCATCAATAAGTAAAAATTAGTAAAATGCTTTATCAAAGTAACAAAATTGAAAATGCCCATATAATATGCATCCATGATGTTTATCAAACTAAGTATATTCACTTGTCAGAAAATCATTATGAAATATTTATAGATGGACCTAAACAAGACCTCAAAAAAGCAGTCTTTTGGACCAAGTCAACAATTTTATGAATGCAGGAAACATACAAAGTGAAAACAATGAATATATCCTAGCACCATTTCTTCAATACAATAAAATTAGATGACTTCAGCTACAAGTTTAAAATAGGTAATAGTCAAAAGAAATTCACAGGATTTATATATTTATAATTTTGTCATTATAATTTTCTTATGCATAGAGGAACCTTGAAAATCATTAAAAAAAGGCAAAATATCATGCCTGTGCAGAAATGGCTTGAGAGACACTAAATTCTGTCTCCATCTTGAATTGCCTCCACAAAGATTTGCACTGGACAGGTGTGATCAATGTTTTAGAGGATGGTACCTACAAAGAAAATTTACTCAGAAAAACCGATCAGTTTTGAAGGATAGAAAATGTTCTCCAATCATAAGAACAAGCAAAAAAATCAAAACACAACGTTGTTTAGCCTAAAATATATATTAATCAATTCAAAAGACAATCCTAATTAATTTTCTCTGCATTTTGTTTGCAGACATAAGCATCCTGAAGGATTTAATGACAAAGTTATACTTATACTTATTAAAAATTAAATTAAGATTCTTGCAACAATTAATTTTCTGGGTATCAACATAACTTTACATCCAATCAGAACACCCCCTATGAAAATGAGTAAACAATTTAATAATACATTTGTTGTTAGGAAGCGCACTAAGGTGTACCACAGGAAGGGGATGTACGGGATCAGAACCCAGAGTCATTCAGTCTATGTGAATACTGAAGTTGAGGGAAATAACCACTTGCTCATGTGGCAGGGGGAAAGAATGTAATGGAAGAGGATCTGTTAGAGGAAGAGGGAATAGAAGGGGAGGGAGGGAATGAGGGAACGCAAGGAATTATTGAGTGAGGAAAGGGACAGAAGCACTCTTGAACAGCCTGGGTTATCTGCATTTTCTTTCCGCTTTATGTTAATTTCTGTTTTTGTTTCTGTAATTTCCCACTGGTTCTGATATCACTTTGATATCAGATCAGGGTAAGAGATATACAAGTTAATTCTCTGTTTGTGTAGCATTTCTGATCCAGATCCTATCATTTATCAAATAGAAATCAGCAACAATAAAATGCACCTGTTCCCAAGTGCTCGAAGCCAGTGGATCAGCTGCTGCGATGCTCCTATCTTTAACAGAACTGCTTGATGAATCCACCAATGCAATTGTTAATGTTTTCTCGATGTTATCGGGATCATCATCTTCATCCAAACGAATTACAGCCATTACAGACAGCAACTTCAAAGACTGCAAATGGTTAATTGTGGTTAGGAAGGTAGGCCAAATGCAATACAAATTCAGGTAACAAAATGTGAATCTTAATTATGTCATACTGCAGAGCGGGCAGTCTTGGTAATGGCTCGAATATCTTCCTTTCCCGTCCAAATACGAGGCATTGAATCAGAATCATGACTAAATATTGTCATAAACCTGCTTTAAATTTAAGGTAAGTGCCTCTAGAGTAAAACTTAACAAGTCAAATTAGATGTTGCAGAAGGTTCATACCTGTCCTTCATACGGATTACAACTCTTCCAGCTTCTTCCCTAGTCTTTGCTTCTATCACACCCTTACCATAATCCAGTAAACTCACAATCATGTTCTTTCTTGTTTGTTCATCCATATCAAATCTGCCAAGTGAAGCAGAGAACCCAGAAACAGCTGATTCTGTCTCACGATTAAGAAGTTTCCTTATTGATGGCCAAGTATCACCATTAGCTCCATCCAAAAGAGTTACAACAGGTCCAGACAAGGCCTCCTTCAGTTTTTCCTGCAAGGGTACTGCAGGAAGTTAGCCTGTCAACTATAGAAACATAGCAACTGACACACCTGCCACAAAATCTCATAAAACTACATACCTTAATCTCTGTAGCCACTAAGCATGAAAAGTTTCATATAAATTTTGACTTGCCACTATTAACAGGTAAAATATTGACAAAAATAAATTGTATCAAACTATCAGTTAAACCCTTTTTCTCCTGGATAACTGTGTTATCAGTGGAAACTTTGGCTCAGTTCTAATTACATATTACCACCTAAAAAATTTCAACGTTGGTCTATTTGGCACAAAAATATAAAATCTGAAATATTACCATTGTTGTTGAGCTTGAACACACTGAACTAAGAATTTGTAAGACATGAATGATCGATGTTAGAATCGTACCTCATATGAGGAAGTAAGCTCTGATATCTTGGCTGCACGTACAGATGCAACATGTGCATCAATATCACGCTGCAGTTCCTCCCTGACTTTAGATGTATCCCAATTTGCTATTTCAATAACAACATCTGCAAGGATAATATGTGTCAGTGCATACTTGCAACAAATAAGTTCAACTCTCTGGCACCAGATTATTGGAATGAACGAAAAGCTAGCATTTCTTCTCTCAACACCAAATTAATAATTGTACGCAATCCACCTCATGCATATCCATTTCTTCCGAGCACTCTTTTCCTTTTCAAGAAATCATTACAATTTGAGCCTTTAACTTTAATCAATTGATGTCAAATGAAATAGGGTAGACAAACTTCCAAATACCTGCACATCCTTCATCAAACTGAGCCATAGACGACCTTATGCAATTATCAGAAGCAGCAGAAAATCCTTCACCTCCATTCAAAGCCTTGTCAAATGCTTCCTTGAACTTATCCAAAATTCCAGACCTAATATGTCCCAGTGCAATTTGGAAAGCTGGTTGGACGAGCTAACCAATTAAAAAGGCATTAGGGGAAATATAGGTAGTATCATAAATCTCAATTATCACAAATCTCCAAAAGCATTTGTGTGTGTGCGTGTTGGGGGGGGGGGGGGGGGGGGGGATAGACACGAATAATAATCCAATATCTTAAATAGTCTGTCTTAATTCAATATAATTTTTGTTCCTCTTTCAATAATCAATGATTCATTTAAGTTTATGAAAAAAAAAAAGGTCAAACAACTATGATAGCACAAGAATGAAGTTAAGAAGAATTACTTGCAACAATTTTTCGTGAAGCTGCTTTTGTTTAGCAGATCTCACACCTTCATCAAAATAAGTGGCTTCAACATCATACCTAGATTTAAAGAAAATAGTTCAATATAACTTCAGTCCACATCAATCCATTTTCATATAATGTTCCTGCAACATGCAACATTAATATAGCAAACTTTTGAGATTCGATCTTAAACTACAGTTTCCTTTCAAAGTATCAGTATTTCACCAGTATGAGAAAGTAAGGGAAAATGAGAGAAAGTGAGGGAAAACGTTGAGAGAGAGAGAATCGAAAGAGACCCATTCTGTTATTGAGTGAGAATCAATTAACCAACTACAAGGAGAGCTATTGAGCTCTATTTATAGAACTAAAGCTGACTCAGCAATGAGTTAGCATCACTAACAGAATTCTAACCATCTAACTAACTGGTACAAGTGAAATAATCTGCTACATCAGAAAAATAGAGATAGACTACAACAGATACAACAGAGTGAATGCTATAGCTAATAAGATACAACAGACTAAATGCTATAGCTAATAAGATACAACAGACTAAATGCTATAGCTAATACAAAGTTTACACATAACATCATAGGAAGCAATAAAACTGCCCTTGAATGTACAAAGCCATGAGGTAAGTAACCATAACACCATTTTCAGTAACTTCTCTAGGGATAGGAAAGAGAAACTGTAAAAGCATCAAATGGTGTTACTGTGTTACACGGGAAACCAGGAAAACTATAAACAGCAGGTAAAATAACTAACAAAAAAAATTGAATAGATCATTTTGATAAAATTCCATTCATGCAATTAATCCCCATCCTCCTTCCACAACCTTTGTTGTAAATATTGGGATTTATACTTTGTAATTGATTTTGATTTGGATTTGATTCTACTTTAGGTAGATTAGTTTCCCTATTTAAGCCTTAAATTAGGAAAGTAATTATTTGGGTTTATTCCCATTAGGCTTTATATATGTACAAGACAAAGTACGTAATAATATTCAAAAAAAATTCATATACCTTGAACAAGAAAAAACATTCCTCTCTCATGGCATCATTCCTTATTTTCTCTTTTTTTTTTTTTTTAAAAGGAGATGATCTCTTATCCTCCTAACTCTTTGTAATCATCTTCTCTTAATCTTAATCAATTTCTTCCTTACAAAAAAATAATAATAATAATAAAAAAAAAAAATTATTAAGGAAAATGTGAGGATCTAATCAACGGGGTTGAGACAAAATATTACCCCCAAAAAAAATGTCTAAAGCTAACAAAGTTAGCAGAGAGCTTAAAATATAGCATTTACATGGTATTCAATAACCGAGCCACAAACAATATAGATGTCATATAAAATTAGCTTTACTCACTCTGAAAGACAAGCATCGAGGAGTGCATTGAGCTTTTTCCCAAATCCAGAAACAGGTCCAGATTGCACAGCCTCTTCCAACTGACACCAGTCCTGAGTGGTAATTATAAAGTAATGTCCATGGTGTCCATAATTAAGACTGTCAAGTGTTGGATGACTATACAAAAAGATATACATATACCTCATTTGCAGCAAAAAGGGCATATTTCTCATTGGCAATTTCTTCACACCGTACAGTAGCAACCATGACCTACGAGTGAGTGGATCAGAAATAATTAATGAAATCAATATACATGTAAAATAAAAGCAGTATCAGCATGGCATATTACCTTGTGTGCAGGAAGGTCGAGATCCCTGTTCTCCTTGATGACTTTCCATATTTGCTGAGCACTAAAAGAAAAGCCTGAAGCAGGAACTACTCCACGTCGATCCCCCGCAAGCCCACCAGGAGCGATGGAATGATAGAATCGTTGCCTCAAGCTTGCAACCTACATTTAGAATTGTTGGAATTAACATCTTGTTTTGTTAGAATTAGTTACAATAGTTAATGTAGCATTGGAAAACAATAGGAACCTAGGAAATGACTTTCATATTATTTTCTTGTTATGGTAAATACCTACTGCTGAAATGAAGAGTACTACCAGTGGCTGAAAATATGAGAGAACATAGATTGAGGTGGTTTGGACACGTAATGAGAAGGCCCCTAAATCTCCCGTAAGAACAAAAATTTGTTACCAAAAGCTCAACACAAAGAAAGGTAGAGGTAGACCGAAACTTACTTGGGGAAAGGTAGTAAAGCAAGACTTAATGGATTGGGATATAGATTGGAGGACGATGTGCCTTAGAATGAAATGGAGAAAAGCTATAAGCATGGTGGAGGGTTAGACCCGTTGTTATTCCTATGTTCCAGACGGTCCCTTTTTAGTCTTTTTTCCTCTTCATCTCCCCCCTCTTCTTCTTTACCCCTTCTTTTATTACTTTTATATTCATATTTATATATATATGTATGTTATTACTATTTTATTTATTTCTTTTTTTTTTTTTTTTTTTTTTCAACCCTTTCGTATCTTTTATTTGGGTTCATCTACCACCGACCCCAATTAATTTGGGATAAAGGTGTTGTTGATGTTGATGTTGATGTTGGTAAATACTTACTGCTCTCACGGCCTTAATAAATATATACATATACGTGTGTGAGCGCGCGCGTGTAGTCTCACTCAAGTAATTTTTCACATTTTTCAAGTCTATCATCCTCCCTTCTAAGAAAAATTTATCAGAAGAACAAAAGATATATGAAAATTAGAGGTATTTATTAACTTGCAAATGGCTAACTCTTGTTATTCAATTTCCATCATGAAAGCCAAACTAATAGAATAATGTATGTTCATAGACTGAGACACATTGCTATTGTCACAGATGCAGATATGGGGATGCACATGGTCACACATGCTAATGATGGGTCATTCAATACCATTAACAAATAAACCTGAAAGAAGCTAGTGTGAAATTCATACCTGCTCCTTAAATTGCTCTTCCTTTTCTTCATAACTAGAAAGAGCAACAACTTCAACCTGCTCTCATGGTCAAGTGCAAACAATTACTATAACAGTCCAAAAAAAACTCTACTACGCATACGTGAACATTAGTAAGTTAAGTGATTCAAAAAGGAATGATGATCTTACATTGAAAAATTCACTTAGTGGGGTTTCCTTATGGGCCTGTGGCTTAGGAACAGAGTCCCATATCTACAGAGGAAAAAGTAGAGAAGTAAAGGTCAACAAAAAATTCAATACCAATTTAATAACATCATATAAAAATAAAAGCATTGCTTAACCTTTTGAATATCTTCTCGCAAAACAGGCTCTAAATTTTCAAGTGGTGTCTATAAAAGGAAAAGGTTAATGAACATAGTAAATAAAGATATACAGACACTTAAAAAATGAAAACAGGAAAATATTTAAATTTATTAAAACAAGCAGCAGAATCTTGCTTACACACCTTTGTTTTATCACGTATGACAAACAGCAATGTTGTTTTGCGCGGACTAAACAATCTCATCATTACCTGAAAGCAAATACCAGCATACAATTCGATAGATAGCAATTTTTAAGATTGGAGAATGCTGCTTGTAGTCAATAGGTTGTCGAATTCTACCTGAAACACAGTTTTTAAAAGAGGCTTATTTGCAGCTTGCTCACGGCCAATGTCATGACACCACCTTTACAAATATTGGAGAAGGAAAAAATCAGTTGCACAAAGAAAGAAGATTCAAATTGAAAAGCGTTAAAACAAGAAGTACAACAGTGACACACATTTAAAAATTTCTAGCATAAGTCTGTTATTAAAGATGTCTAAAGGAAGAAGAGACGAAAAAGAACTCACATGTTTATTAGCACTATATCAGAAACAGCCAAAGCAAATAGAGCACTCTGCTTTTCAAATGCAGTATCATCCTGCGAGAAAGACAATTTCAGTATAAAGGGGAAACAATCAAAGTGAGAAGTATCATTTCTCATTTCTCTTTGTTCAAATTTTTCCTAATGGAAGATAAATTACATGTTTGAATAACCAAAAATTCCTAAATAACTATCATTAACCCATCATAGTGCAAATGCAGGATTAGAAACATTATGGAGGACTGCATTCTTGTCACAACTTATGAAAAGTCAAAAATTTAATAAATCTGGAGGATAACTGAATCATCTCAGTTAAATTGGCTAAGAGAAAAAAGCATTACTTCACGAGAAAATGTTACCAGTAATATCATGAGAAAATAAGAACACAGCAAATTATAATAAAAAAGGTATAACATATTATGTTCCATTACTGATACATTGGAATATGTACATCCAAGATATAAAATAGAAATGCAAATGGCAATTGGCAATAGACTCTGGACCATGATCACAATGACCAAAGTGAGTTATGGTGGAAATAAACACCTCTCCACGTTCTCTTCCATCTGTACCCTCCAAATCCATCACAAGTGTACAAGGCTCTATACCAATACATCCAGCCATCCAAATTCCTTTGGTTGTTTGAGACCTGAAATCAAGTGCATCCCATTAGGTTACCACCTTGCTAATTGTGCAAGGTTGAGGTGAAATGTGGGAATTGCAAGAACATGCCTTCCCCTGAATGCATCCATCTCTCTGAAGTTGGTAAGAAACAAATTATTTAATAGGGTGCTCTTGCCTGCCCAGACCAAACAAGACAACAATTTAAATAATATAAATATGCTTCATTATGAACAGCATCCGTCATGCCTTGATAAATAATAATTACAAGAGGATAGAATAAAATGAATTATAAGACAAAATTCTCAGAGGAATTGAGAAAAGGACTGAAGAGACTGAGCGCAATCATTAGAAATCATCAGTATAGACAGATAATAAAGTCATAAATCTATATCAAAAACCAACTTTAAGTTATTGCTCACTTGTCAGTACCACATAAGGCACAAACATGAAACATCAATTTAATATTTCCGTCAATATTAATATACAATTACCCCCAGCATTCAGTATCAAGTAAATTATCTCAATAACATACAAATCTCAAGTTCAGAGACTGGTAAAAAGCGATCATAAAACCAATTAGCTCATGAAAAGAAGAAGAAACAATTGAGACTATAAAGGCGAGAAACCATACCACTACTTTGTGGACCCATGATAGAAACCACGGCATAGGAAAGCCCGCATTCGCCTAATTTAACCTCCTTCATGAAGTTTTCAATACCAGCAACATTGAATGTACCATCTCCATCAATAAGTTGAGTGGCACAAGAATTCTCAATCTTAGCTGGATAAGAAGATATACAATGGTAGTTGGTACTACAATTAGAAGCATAAAAACTTGTAGTACAGTTTTCAAGGATAACACTAATAGAGCAAATCAGGAAGATTAGGTGCCACTGCTGCATTGTACTTTGACATATAAACAAGGAGAAAGTTATATTTACAAACTCTTACAAACTACACTATGTTCTTGCAAAAAGTTATAAAAAAAAGTTGTAAACGGATCTTTCCCTTGTAAACAATAATGCTCTAATAGTTTTGCCATTCAAAACATGTCATGGATCAAAAGGTCAAGATTAATCAAATCAAACCAACACCAATAAATAACAAATTAATGTTCACTTGAAAACTGAAAAATGAATATTCAAAAAAAAAAAAAAACAGCTGAAAATGTCATTCTCCGTTATACTTGTTATACCCACCGGCACCATTAATATTTGATGACAACAATCGTAATAACCGAAAATTAGAAAAAAAGAGAAATTAACAAACGAAAAGCGAAAAGAGAAGTTACAATACAAGGTTATGATGAGTATATATATATATATATATATATATATATATACATATATAGAAAATGCATGAATGTAGGAATTGTCAGAGGCGTACCCATTTGCGTGATCGCGATACGAATTTGAAGCACAGAATGGTTAAGGGAGGGAGCGATCTCTCATCTCATTCTCAGAGGATCATTACCATTTACCATTATCATTGTCTCTCTGCCTTCATGGAATGGCCGTTGTCTCTCATCATGTCATACAAAACACAAATTTTATTTATTTTTTATTTTTTTTGTTTGTCAAAGATTTTCTCTTCTCTTTCTACTTTTTAGGGGAAAAAAAATTTCTTGCGTGTCGCTAATAAAAATATTTTTTATTGGACATTCTAATATAACGATATTGAAGATTGATAGAAATGAAAAAAAGAATAAGTAGGATAATCTATCCATTGTTAATACATATAATAATTAATTACGATCTAATAGTTGAATAAATAAAATCGATTTTTTATTGGATTACATAACAATATATAACATCACAAGAAAAATTTAAACTTCAGAGTTTTAAAAGTATAAAACCATATTTTATATTCCAAACCTCTGTAGGTGAATAGAATAAAATGGATGAAAAGTCTAGGAGAAAAAAAATGGAAGTGATGCGTGGTGAGGAAGGTGATTGACCATTTTATTCATCTTTTAAAACTAATATATTATTTTATTTATTTTCTCAAATTATATATCAACATGTATCTTCTTATATTATATATCAATTTATTCCTATTTGATTAAAATTTGAATAACTCTAATCCTTTACTTGACTTATTTACTCAAGTGTGGGTTAAATTTTAATTAAATTGGGACAAATTAATATATAATTTTAGAAGAGGGATAAATTAATATATTAATTTTAAAAAATAGATAAAGTGATAATTTTTTATTAAAATGAAGGTAAGATAGCCAATCACCCATGGCAAAGATGGTTAAAGATAAATACCAAGAAGAAGAAAAAAGATGATTAAAGACTAAAGCGAGTTTAGAATTCGATAATCGACCCATTTGTTTAGTTAGATCGCGGGTGGGACCCAATTAAAAGTGTTTAGTTGATATTTTTGTTAATCCCACTAATGTATTAAAATATCACACTATTCTCGAGAGATTACATTCTTTATTCTTCTCGTAATACTGAATTATTATTGCCTTATTCTGGAACAGAAATTTCGTAGTTTCTGCTGTAATTTTATTGTAGAGTAAATATCTTTTTTGGTCTTCATCAAATTTCACGATGCTTGTTTTAGTCCCTAGCAAATAAAAAGGACGTCCCTAAGAAATTCAAAATGAACCCATTTAGTGAAATCGAGATCCCTCACAGATTCAAAAAGATCCATATTAGTCCCTAAAAAGACTAAAATAAGTCCATTTTTAATTTTTTAGTAGGCCTTTTTATTTGTTAGGGACTAAAATGGGCATCGTAAAATTTCCTGAGGACCTAAAATGATATTTACTCTTTATTTTATTTAAAAAAAAATATTGAATAAACGTATGAATTCATCAATAGTAGTCTGTTAAAGTAAAATTATATATCTATGTATATAAACAGAAAATTAATGTTGAAATTTATAGAAACGAAGATGATGAGATACTTATAAGAAGTAATTTAAAACGATACTTATGTAATACTAGAAGTTTAAGATAATTGAAAAATAAGATTAATGTTATAGCAAAGATATAAGGATCTTCCTAATAAAAAAAAATACATTAGGACACACAGTTACAACTGGTATTTAGTCATTCAATACAAACAAAGTTGATACAAATTGTTTCACTGCAAACCCACAAGATAAGCTCATCCTAAAAGATTAGTTTATTGACAAAAAAAAAAAAAAAAAAACCTTATAGTTTGACGTTAAGTATTCATATTTGCTTAATGTAAAAAATAAAAAATCCTCCAAGGACGAATAAAACATGAATAAAGGAAGTATTAGAAGAGAAAAGAGAATGAGTACTGAATATATTTCATTGCATTGAAAAAATACTACAAATATGGTGTGATATATACATGTATGAGGAAGAGTCTAGACCCTTTAGCCTAACAGAAAGCAGTGAAAAATAACAAACTCTGTTAAACAACAAAAACAAACTTTTTATAACAGAATTCGTATTCTGCAATTTACAATTTTACCCTATAATTCTAACACAAAGAAAAATGACCCTTTTTTTTTCTATTTAAGGAAATGAAAAAGGGTTTCGATAATAAAAAACGGTAACCAGCAGGACAGAAGAGGCGGGAAAATATCGTAGGAAAACGAAACGCTCTCTCTCTCTCTCGCACTCGCACTCGTTTTGAAAATTGGAGAACCGAACTGAATCAATCAAATTGATTGAATCGGAAGATGATGAAGAAGGTAGTTTCAATGGAGGAGAGGTACTCTCAGTGGAAGTCTATGGTTCCTGTACTCTACGACTGGATCGTCACTCACAAGCTCGTCTGGCCTTCTCTTTCTTGCAGGTTCTCTTCTTCTTCTTCTTCTTCTTCTTCTTCCAGGGTTTTCCAAATTCTAAATTACACTTTTCTTTTATTGGCAATCGCAGATGGGGTCCTCAACTAGCGCAAGCTACTTACAAGAACCTTCATCGTCTATATCTTTCTGAACAGGTCCTCACCCTTTCCATTTTTGGATTCTAACATCTTACAGAGTATGATTGTAACTAATTGTAACTGTTTCTAACTGCCTGACGTATCTGCTAACAGAATCTGTTACGACTATAGTTTCTAGTTTCTGATTTGTTCTCTATGTTCTGAAACCTCAAGCAATTAAGTGAATGCCACTTCAATGGTTTGTTTCAATGGATTTTATATTTCTCTAACACATGTAACAAGGGATATCACACTACTTAGGGTGTGCAGAAAAAAAAAATTTGAAGAACTAAACATGCTTCTGTTTTATTTATATTACTTATATTTGTCTTCTCCTGATGCTTGTTCTTCTCAGACTGATGGCAGTGATCCCAATACTCTTGTTATAGCAAATTGTGAGGTTGTTAAACCTAGGGTTGCTGCAGCTGAGCATATCTCCGAGGTAAAAAAAATTTGAATTAATTAATCCTTACGCTTTTTTTTTTATTATTAATATACTTTTTTTGTAATTAATTATTTCTCGCGAGTGAATTTGGAATCTCAGTTATTTATTTAAGGGAATTTTGTGTTCTTTTGTCTCAATCTTTCAGTTTAATGAAGAAGCAAGCTCTCCCTTTGTGAAAAAGTACAAAACTATAATACACCCTGGCGAGGTATGCATTCCTTGCAAATTGCAATGATCCTTTATTTTCATGTTTTAGTTTAGGTGATGTTAATCTAGTTTTTAGCTTTATCACGTATATTAGTGCGCTCACAGAAGCATTATTTCAGGAAAGGTACAGTCATTTTGCAATCTGTTAAGTCTGTTTGTAATTTATTTGAGCATTGATGTTATTGATACTATCTTTCAGGTGAATAGAATCAGGGAACTTCCTCAAAATAATAACATAGTAGCTACCCACACAGATAGTCCTGAGGTAAGCGATGACTTTTATGCTTCATTTTCCCTGTCAAACTTGAATGTCAAGAATTTGAGACTTTTAAAAAGGATTTGCCTTACTTCTACCTTTCCAAGTTAGAGTTTCTGGGGGAGTGGTAAAGTTTGATAATGAGATTATAATATTCTTTTTGTAAAACAGGTACTAATTTGGAATGTTGAAACTCAACCTAATCGTCGTGCTGATCTGGGGGCTCCCACTTCCCATCCAGACCTGGTTTGTTTTCATTCTTCTTTTTTTCGGTCCCCGCATCACTTTATTTATGGTTCGCCCACTATTACTAGTTTTTTTTTTTTTTAATTAATATAACTATATGTTAATATCCAAAGAATATAAATATAATGGCAAGACAAAAAATCTAGTAAAAATTTTAAGTACTTCTAACTTACTTGTTTCTATTAAAATTTAGAAGTTTGAATCCATCATTTTTCCTAAGAAGCTTTTTATATATCTTTGTTCATAAGTTAGGCACCTGAAATTTTAGCCATATCTTTTTGCAGGTGTTAACTGGGCATAACGACAATGCTGAATATGCTCTGGCTATGTGTCTAATTGAGCCCTTTGTTCTTTCTGGAGGTTGGAGTGTTTTTTATTGCCTTCTCATCATCAATGATGTCAAAAATTTATTATGTATTGGTTTAGATCTCTTACTCAAGCACTTGCTTTTTATTATCAAGATAAAAAAATAAAAATACAGTAGTTTTTAAAATGGGCTATAACAACACAAATACAATAATAGAAAATTTGTTATGTGTTAAACTTATACTGCTGCAGCCTGTAGCCTGTATTAATGTTGCTCGACAATATTAAACTGTAGCTGTCAATTTCTTGCCCTAAGAAAAAGAAGAAAAAAACTGGCAACACTCTTCTCTGTGTGGATGATTTACTGCATTGCATGTGCTCTTGTATTTTGTTGACTTGGATAGAATTCATTACGGCAGGAAAGGACAAGTGTGTGGTCTTATGGAGTGTTCATGATCATATTGCAACTTTAGCGGCAGAAGCAGGATCCAATGCTAAACAGGGCTCTGAGGTTGGGGGGAGTAGTAAGAAAGCTGCTGAAAGCCCGTCTATTGGACCACGGGGCATCTACAAAGGTCACGCGGACACTGTTGAAGACGTGCAATTTTGCCCGTCAAGGTAGTTGTTTCTTGATTTAGTCATACTTGTTTCAAATTATGTGTATCTAAACTATTACTATTTATGTTTGAGTTTGGTAAAATAAGCTTATCATGTGTTACACATTTGCATTTCCTTGACACCTCACTGTAAACTCATTCGCATGTTATCTATTGTTTGTTGCCAGAATAGTAATTTTGGTGAATTTTGATATTTGATCTGGTTATGATAGAATTTATTGTGTTAATCAAATGCACTTTATTTTATTAGAAGGGATACTTGAGTTCTGAGACCTGACACAAAAAACTGAAGGGTAAATTTTCACTTTTAAACTCTGTTTTGGGTATCAGTCAAATATTAACGGAATGCCTTGCTGATTTCCGTATCATTTTTTTTTCTTTTATTGTTGTTGAGTAATTGTTAATAGTCCATTTTATCATTTTCTGATATACTTCCTGCTCTTCTTTGTCCCTATGAATTGAAGTGCACAGGAGTTCTGTAGTGTAGGTGATGATTCCTGCCTCATACTCTGGGATGCACGAGTTGGATCTACTCCAGTTGTCAAGGTTTAAATTCATCAGTTCATCTATATTATTGATGCTTTCTTCATGATTAAAACCACCAAATGTAACTAGATGAAATTAGATCAAGGAGATGAGAAAAATATTGATTTAAGCTCTGTGACATCAATAGATGTTTTAATGGGTTTAATATTTCTCTTCTTCTTTTTTCAGATAATTGTTTTAGATCAGATTTACGTAAAAGTTAGAGGTCCCGTTATGTTTTACTAATTTTTTATCTCTTCTAATGGGATCCACTCACTTAGTATGTAAGAACAAAATTTTGTGGAGCAAAAGCTTGTTTTAATATAGAAAAATCATTTTCTCATGCGATAGGAGATAGCTTTCTTATGTTGTGAGACATCGAAATCTGTGTAATTCTTTTTGTTTTTTTGTTTTTTTTAACAAGTGGTGGGCTCCACCTCACGTGAGAAAAGAGAAATGTATTTTGATTTACTAGTGGTGGGATACATTTAGAACTTATAGCTTTCGAAGTTTGTACTTAATGCAGATTTAGCAGACACTTGCGTACAACTTGTCTCTTTAGCTGGGGCTTTCCCTGTCATGTGGATTTTAGCATATTTGTAGATTCAATTTTGCAGAAATTTCGTCATTTGTATTTGTTGTTTGGTTTGTCCTTTAACTCCCGTTACGTAACGTTTCTAATTTAGATCTGCATATGCTATCATATTTTCCTTTTTTCTTCATGGTTATCTTTTAAGCAGGTCGAGAAGGCGCATGATGGAGATCTTCATTGTGTTGATTGGAGTCCTCATGATATAAATTTTATTCTGACTGGGTATCCCCGCCTCTGGCTATTTCAATGAACTTGGATTACGATTTATATTCCCTTCTGATTGTTCTTTTTATTTTAGTAATCTTTTTCAGTTCTTAATGCCGTTATTTAGTTTAACTTAGAAGTTGGATCCTTTTCTTCAGCTACCAAAGCAGTTATTGGACTCGTGGATCTTCATTCTAATTTCTGTTGCTTTGGCTTCAGTTCTGCTGATAATACAGTTCGCATGTTTGATCGCCGGAATCTTAACCATGCCGGAGTTGCGTCTCCTGTTTATAAATTTGCAGGTCACGACGCAGCTGTCCTCTGTGTACAGGTAGCTGGGAGATCGTGCCTTATTTTCATTGCAGTTTAAATGTCTGTGTCACTCATGGGTTTTTTTTTTTTTAATTTAACCCAACTCTAATTATCTTTTGAGGCGAGTTGGCTCCCTCCGATAACTCCCGGTATTTCACAAACTTCGACTCTTTGAGCTTACTATGAGACTAATCGGAAATACGGGGCAGATTTAAATGGCATGTGGAGATCGAATCGAGACACTTTCCTTTCCACTTATTCAACTCCCTTGCTACAACTGAGTTACCGTCATTTCGTAATTTCGTAGTTACGGGCATTTTAGTTTAGCGATTGTTAGCCTACAATTTTGATCCGTTTCAGTGGTGTCCTGACAAATCATCTGTATTTGGAAGTGCTGCTGAAGATGGCATTTTAAACATCTGGGACTATGATAAGGTTTGAACTCTTGAAACTTTTCTAGTCATAGACCTCCTTTTTTGTCCTACGCCTGCTCTCTTTTTATGAAATGTAAATTGTATAGAATATTAATCAAATGCAAGATCTTATGAACTTTGAAATTTTAATCAAGTGCTAGGCTACTGAAAAACTTGAATTGACAAGCACCTTTGTTAATATTGTTTCCATAGAAATTCTATGCTTATGTTACGGAATACTAATCTTATATTATCAATGAATGTACGAGCCCTTACATAACTTTAAAGAGATCTACATGCCGTTTATTAAAACTTTGGAAGAGTGTTTCTTATTGTTTATCTTTTATTTATTGCATGGGTTAGTACTGTCATGAAATTCTAGTTTTCTAGCCTCACTATGCGTGGTAAGGCAAAGAACCGTCCGGGCCCCCCCCAAAAAAAGGGATTCCTTTTTAAAACTTAACAAGATGTGGTTTGATGGGCTAGCTTATACTTATTCTATCACTCCTGCTTTATTGTATATTTTATGGTTTATCTCATACTGATCTGGACTCCAGAAGTATTTTTCCTATATTGAATGTCATATTCTTGTTTTTGCTATCCAAAATTTTTTGGGGTAACGCTTTAAAATTGCTCCTTTTAGGTTGGTAAAACATCAGGTTCTACTGGTCCAAAAGTGCCAAATACTTCAGATGCTTTATTCTTTCGACATGCTGGGCATAATAGGTATGATAACACATGGTTAAACAAAATTTCTCATTCTCTTTTCATTTCGTTGGAACTCAACATATGTTTAAGTTGTTGGAATTTTTTATTTTATTTTTTGGTAACATAAGTTGTTACAATTTTAATTCCTATCGGGACTGTTCAATTGTATAATATTGTAGTGATGTAATATTTGGCTGGTGATGGAGTACGTTCCCGTACCACGTTACCAAACCATGTAACACTGATGGACTCTTTTTTCTATAAAAAAAAAAAATAGTATTTCAATACCAAACAGATATGTTTACTTATGCATTCAGGGACAGGATTGATGACTTCCAGTGGAATGCATCTGATCCATGGACAATTGTTAGTGTCTCTCATGATTGTGAAGATAGCCGTGGAGGTGGAACCCTACAGGTAAAGCGAAGTTTATGTTATCTTTTGGTTAAAAGATTACTCATGCACAAAAGATTGCAGCATTAGTGGGTTGAATTTTGCCAAACCTTATTGCACTTCTTTGTTTGACTTGTTGTATAAAGTATTGCGCTTCTGACTTTCTTTGTTTCCAGAAATTCTTGATTTAATTATCATGTTAAAAAAGAAATTGTAAAATATTATTTTCTGATACATATCAAAGGCGTTGGTCATCTTGTATGTAATATTACTAAGACTTCTTCATTTTCTTTTTCCTAATTTTTTATGTAGATGTGGCGGATGATTGATCTAATATACCGATCAGAGGAAGAGGTGCTAGCTGAGCTGGATAAGTTCCGACTTCATGGGAAGTAACCCATGTCATCTCTGAAAAAGTTTTAACTTTCCGCTTGTGCAGGGATTTTGTGTAGTTATGACTCCATCTTGAATTGTTAAAAAAGAAAACAGAAAAAAAAAAAATTAAAATCTAACTTGTTCCATTACTCATTTGAGGAAAACTCGAAATATTTGGATCTTCTACAGTGTTACTTTTGAATACCAGTACGGAAAGCAGTTGCTAAAATTTGTAGCAAGCAATGCGACCTAACTTTACGTTTATAGAAGTGAACTGAGTTTGGCTTAATTTGGATTTCATGAGTTTGGAGTGGGTTTGATTTAACAGTAAAGTTTTCTTGGTTTTCTTTTTTTTCTGTTAACCAATTTTTGTGTTTTTGGGTTGGTTTAATTAGATCATGAGTTCTAGTATTTTTTAAGAGATTTATGCTATAATCAAAAAAAGAATTTAATAATAGAAAAAAGTAAAACCTAATATATACTTAACTTATATTAGACTGATCCTGTCACGATATTTTGAATGATCCTTGTTTGTGACATGATAAGCTGATCCTGGTGTTCCCTTTTTATGAATGATCCTTGATCGTGACATGATATTTGCGTCGTTAGGTTTGGGTAGGGTCTTGTCACCGTCTAATCGAGGAGGCCTCATGACTGCCACGGTTCTATTGATGGTTTGAATATTGCATTTTCCCACCAATGACATATTCATTCAATCGGAAAAATTCTCATCCATTCAATCAGCATCTTGTTGAGTCCTCCTTGCTTGTGCCATAAGTTCAGGTCCACCGATGAAAGTTACACCACAAAACAATCCAATTTGTTGCATGCAGTTAAAGAGTTAAGTACATACAACACTTCACAATTATTGAGCAAAATTTGAACAAAGTCGCTAGTAATCTTCCGTGAGGTCCTAAAAAAATTTCAGGGTATATTGAATGTAAAATTAGATTTCAATTTAACTGGCTTCCCTTTATAAATTCCTAAAAGAAACTCAATAGAGATGTATCATCTATATTCCATAAACAACCAAAAATGGCACAGGCAAAGAACCAAAACGAACATTCCTGTGACAATCCACTATAATAGATATTGGATGTACATATTAAACTAACTCAGGTTACAGTTAGCCAAACTAGTAGTGTTAATTAGCTTGAGCATAGTCTTGATTTCCCATTTTTTTGCCTGTGCAAATACAGAAAAAGTGGTTATTGGCGTGTAGCAAGCCAACCCTTCCCCTCCAAGATGAGAAGATAAAAAGGGGTAGAATAGGCTCCCATGAACTTACAAACATGAGAAAAAACGAAGGGGAGAAAGAACAACATGAAACTAACCAATATGAATCCTTCTTCTCTTGTGCTAACAATTCTTCAAAAGAAATGTCAGCAAATTCATCATCTCTGTTCTCTCCCTCTCCACATGATTTTTCCTTCTCCATGCAAGCTCCAACTTCAAGCATCTTTATGGAGAGGTTTACATATTTAGCATATCATAGGAAATGTTAGTTAATACAAGAGATTTTTCATGAACAGAAACCAAGCAACATACAAGAAATCCACAAACCCTTTGGGCAAGTAGTGTATACTATACTGTATAATTTAAATAACATATTTTTGCAACAAAATTAAAGAGATGTTGTTTATCAAAATTAAAGAGTATACCTTCTGGTAAGCTGGTGAGAGTTTAAGCTGTTGTTGAAGTGAGTTATAAACAAAAGCATCCTCCTCTAACCGTTTTTGCTCTAATTCTAGCTTGTATATCTGAAATATTCAAAAGTTAGAGACTCAATGGAGGTAGGCGTCGGCATGCTTGATGACATGCTATCTAACCAACCTGTTGATGAAGGCGGTCAAAAGAAGATCTGTCTGCCTTGCATAATAAAGCCTTTGTTATTACAAACTTACGTTGAATCACATCAGCCCTGTTACAATGAGAGGATGTAAAAGCAATCAGAATAACACAACATAGAAATTTTGGCAACCTGAGAAGAATATTACTAAATCTAAATCTGACATAAAATGACAAAATCTAAATTTGCACATAACCCCCAAGAAAGTGGAATTTTTAAATATGAATTTCACTAGAATATGATGTCATATAAATCAGATACTTCATTCAAATAACCAGAAAAAGTCACAAACCCAGAAATCTCCAATATAACAGATAGCAACAATCAGCCTAGCCGTTTGTTTGTTTATCATAGTTGCAAAAAGTAGAAAGAAAGGTTCAATATCATCCCAAATAAGTTTCCACGAATACAAAGGGGAAGAGGACGAAAAAAACCACACAAATCTAAGTAACTGCTTTAGGATAAATTTGGACATACTTGTGCTGTAGCTCATTCCTAGCATCAACCAAACTATTAGCAAACTGTAAAACCTGCATTATAAAAGATAAGAGTGTTAATCTTTTTAAGGTGCTTGCATTAAAAGCATTAAAATAGGTCTGACACCAGTATAACAAGTACCATGAAAAGGAAAACACCATACAACATGATCCTTAAAATGAAAACAAAAGTAAGATACAAAATGAAAACTACCAAAGAAAGAACACTTTGCTGTTAACATAGGAGTTGAGAATGCTCTAAGCAAATCTACAAGGTCACGTTGCAAGTCATGTAGAGATAGAAAAGTTGCCAATCATGTCTACTCTGTGAACATATGTTATCTGTTCATTTGCATTATGTTTATAGCATGCCTCCCAACATCTTACTATACATTCCCCAAAATCACCCAGATACATTCAAAAGGCGAGTAGGTTGATCCACCCCTTGTCCCCAATATCTGCTTGACTTACATGTACTAGTTCAATAGAAATTATTTCAGAACTACCAATGTATTAATTGCATGTCTTCATATATCTATAAAAAATCATGAAAAACCCCATTTCCATACTTTGTGATTGATCTCCATTTTTCGTAGACTACACGACATTATGTTATGCAGGAGAAATCACTAGATTAAGTCTTACTTTTAACTCACCCCAACATGAGCTTATTTTTCCCCCTAAAAAAGAACAAATCTGTGTCCCATTCTTTTCTGTCAAAAACTGATCCAATCTAATTTCCAAACTCTATAGAGAAGCAGTTCTTATTATTGTGAAGTAATTGTTTCACCTATGTCCTAACTTCAATAATTTACTACACTAACAATCTAAGTAAACACAATAAGCCTGATGCATGTACCTTAAGCATTAACTTGTTAACGCTATCAGCAAATGTTCTTTCCCTTTATTTTTCTTTCTCCGTGTGATCTCAGCAACAATTTCTTTGTCACGAAATTACCGAGAATATGTATTGCTTTCATACAAAGAGAGTAACTACACAAAGCTAGGAAACAAAGTTGCTCATTTCCTTATTGGAAACACGCACTAAACTATTACAAGAAAACCCTTGGTATACGCAAATTCAAAATAAAAAACACAGTAGTTCTATATTAAAAAAAAATAGTAATACATTTATGAAAAACAAACTGCAAAAAAAATAAAAGATTTCATATACCAACCAAACAAATATTCAAATTTTAGGGAAAGTATTTGAAAATAAAAAAAATAAAAAATAAAAAGCAGAAAAGGGAATGCAAATTTCGAAAAACCTGAGACAGTGTCAATTTCTTCGACTCGTTGCATTTCACAAGTTCATCATACTGCTGTTTGATCTTTCTCTGCATAGCGCTACCCGAAGAAGTAAACGGGTACAAGCAAGCGGATTCAAGTCGGACCCCAGAATCCGAACCCGAACCCGTATTCGCTCTCTCTTCACCCTTCTCTTCGGTTACCGAATTCATTCTCTTCTTCTTCGTCTTCCTCTTCTTCTTCTTCCCTCTCTGCTCTTCTCCCGGACCTTCTTGACCCGAAGACACCGAATCCGGGTCATCGAACAAGCTCGCCCATTTCGCAGAATCAGAAGGCAAGACTTCCAAAAGAACCGATCGGGTCAAATGGGTCGGGCTATTTTCGCCGGGTCGAGGCACTTCATCAACGACCCGTGACACAGAAGAATGGTTAGCAGCAGCTACCCTTTCCGGGTTGTGGGTGAGACCCGGTTGTTCCCTTGTGTGTTTGTGCGTTTTCAAGAACCGTTTGTAAAGAGAGAAAGAGAGAAAAGTGAAGGAGAGGAAGGAGAGAGATAGAACGAGGATGAAGAAGAAAATGGGATCGTGCATTTGTGGGTGGCAATGAAGTGAAAATGGATTATTAAGATGAAAGAGAGAATACGAAGGTGCAGGAGGCTCCATGGAAACGAAAGAACGTCATGTATAGAGAGAGAAAGAGAGAAGAGTGAGAAGCAGAGTGATAGAAGAGAAAAGAGATATATTCTGTTCCCAGTTATGGCGCTTTTGAAGGTTCTTTTTTTTCTTTTTTTCTCTTTTCTTGTGTGTGTGTGTGTGTGTCTTTGGGTTTGGGGTATTCTCTTTTTACAATGATAATGATAATGATAACGATGTTGGAGTGGGGAAATAAATAAAATTAAATAAAATAAAAACTATTGTTTTGCACAGAAAATTAGAAGAAGAAAAAAAAAATCAATCACAAAAAAATTTATTGTAAGGAAAAATATTTTGTTCTACATTGTAATTATGCTTAAATTTTGTTATGTTTATAAAGAAATAAAACGACATTTGGATCTTAAGATTACTAGAACTAAAATATATTGTAAGAAACTACTTGTATGATTGGGTTTATTTTTATTGAAGCTATTGTTAAATGTTACAGAATAATATTTATACAGTTATTACAAATGAGTTATTTGCATTTACTTTCAAAACAATGTTGTTTTGGGATTGAAAATTAAATAATTATTATTATAAAAACTATAATAATCCTTAAATAAATTAAAATTAAAAAAGCACAATGATTTCTGTTCCAAAATAACGTCGTATTAAACTTACTGCAGATAAGTTATACGTGATAACTGCAGAAAAATCGGGGAGAGTGACCATTTTGCCACACCTGGCAAAAAAATTTATCAGACTGCCACACCAACAGTAAATTTTTCCAAAATGCCACACGGCATATTTCGCTACACTGAAGGCGCCGACGAGCACATTGAACTATCCATGTGGCTGAGAGCCCTCACAGTCCAGGCACAACGACGCAATTATCAGGGGCGCGCTCTACCACTGAGCTAATAGCCCGTCATGCAGGCCTCCCGCCGGGGCCCGCTATGCCCAAAGCGAGAGAAACTTCATCCCTCTCTGTGTAGCGAAATATGTTTGCATATAATTCGCTACACAGTGTAGCGAAATATACCATGTCAGGCTGCACAGTCAGCAAAAATGACACGTGTCAAGCAGGCAGAATCCAAACATAATTGGAACAGTGACCAAAATGCCACGCTTTGGCAAAAAAATTACCAGAATGCCACGCGAATAGTAAAATTTTCCAAACTGCCACGCGGCATAATTCGCTACACAGTGTAGCGAATTATGTATGCAAGTAATTCGCTACACAGTGTAGCGAATTATGCCACGTCAGAATGCACAGAACCAAAAAGTGTCATTTGTCAGAAGGTTGAAATTCGCTACATAAGGTAGCGAATTTCAACAATTTTGACACATGGCACTTTTTGGTTCTGACGTGGCATATTTCGCTACACTGTGTAGCGAATTATGCCGCATGGCAGTTTGAAAAATTTTACTGTTCGCGTGGCATTCTGGTAATTTTTTGTCAAAACGTGGCAAAATGGTCATTGTCCCAGCATAATTCGCTACACTACTACTTGACACGTGTCATTTTTGCTGACTGTGCAGCCTGACATTGTATATTTCGCTACACTGTGTAGCGAATTATATGCAAACATATTTCGCTACTCAGTGTAGCAAAATATGCCGCATGGTATTTTGAAAAAATTTACTGTAGGCGTGGCAGTCTAATAGGCAGTCTGGTAAAAAAATTTGTCAAACGTGACAAAATGGTCACCTTTCAGAAAAAGCGAACGTTAACTATATTAAAATTTGAAAAGTATAACTATTGAAGTTAGGCATCCAGTTGTTAATTCTAGATTCCTAAAGTATAATGGTGGCGCAGGTGGCAATATATTATTGGGAGTTAAAATGGCAGCATCTTGACTAGTTAACATTTAAGGAAACATAATTTTCAAATTATTATTAATTTCGTATTTAATCAGAGTTTGGCATAGTTAGTTAGAAAATTATGCATATGTAACCTTTTGATAAAAATTTCGCCTCATCGAAGATATAGATCATCATTGCATGCACAGTGGTGAGTATACGTGTCTAAGTCTCTATGTGACAGAAAACAGAATCACCCAATAGAAAGCAACAATATTTAAACTTCACCTTTTTGACACATGCGTCTTTTCATAAAACATTATCTCTATGTTCTTCCAATAAGTTAAGTGTATGATTATCTCTCTTTGTAGAATCAAAATGTTTTAATGAAGCCCAAACTGTGAACACAACACCAAGATCATGTAAAAACTAAAGGGTTTTATAATTCTCATTTAATATGAAAATTTAAATTTTCCTACACACTCTTCAATTTCCGCGCTAACATGAGCCTTACATATAATTTTTTTCTAACACATGAGTCCCACATATCTTTTATCTCTATAACATAAGATTTCAATTCTCATTCAACATGAGAATTATAAAACCCAAAAACTAAAAGCCATAAGACATAAAATAAAGAAACATAAATGACAGAATTTAATATGCCTGATCTTTATTATCTTGGGAAGTTTCTCACAAGAATAAAGTGCAACTAAAATAGCTATGAATGCAGCTTACTAGGGAATAATAATATTACAGGAAGCAAGAGGCTTCCACACTAAAAAAACATTTGCACATGTGTGCATCATGCAGATCTTCACCTTTTCCTTTGTATAACAGGCAGAACACAGATATATACACGTATGCATACTCATCTCAACAATCTCTACAGGCTTTCAACCATATGGTGTGTTGTGTTTTCTGCAACTTCACCTTGGTAAAGCCAAATTAATGCTTGTGGTGATCTAAAATGTAGACTTTTTGGTTGACCCGAAAACCCTGTATTGAGTTGCGGAGAAAAAATTAATTCCATCTATTTTTTGAGGTTGAAATAATCAGGTACAAATGGCTTCCACTGAGAGTTTCTTCATGACATTTGGACATGGATCTCCTCCAAAATTTTCAGGCGACACTGTTACTGTGCACCAGTTCTGTCCAACACAATTCTGCAACAACAAATTCATTATTGAATAATGAACCAACTAAAAGTGACCAAAAACATAAATGAATCATTTGACTTGCTGAATTGAACCTAAAAGATTCCATAATTTAATTCCAGTGGCCTCTCGTGTGAAGTAGCATATTTAATAACAAGTTAAGCTTTTGTGTTAAATTGGTTCTTTACATATAATAAAGGCTTTAAAACTTAAAAATCACATTTTATCAAAAGTTGTATTTAGCTATAGCTCCCTACACACCACCAAAAAGAAATGATCCTAAAAAGGAGAGAACAAAAGGCAATACCCTTTCAAAGGCATCGTAAGACTTGTGAGCATGACAGCTTCCTTCATGGTAGTTTCCACAAGACCCTACTGGAGTACCAAAGCTAGCAAATTTGATTGATGAGATTTTCTGTCCAGGGCCACATGATAAATGTGCTTTTGGTCTCACAGGTTTGCTAACTTTGCCAGAAGCTTGCATCTGATAACTTATAAGATTTGGTTGCCACTCATAAATATCAGCACATACACTATCTATATCTCGTCTAACCAAAAATATTCCATTGGGGTCTCCACCCAATTCTTCAAACACAACCAATAAATTTCCACTTGGCTTCAGCCAGGAATGAGGAACATGATACCTGAAGTTACAAGCCATATTTAGTTTGTCAATGGTTTCTCATAAGCATTAAACAAAACTCCATGGTTAGCTATGTATTTCTCACTCACCATCTTTGAGAAGCCTCGCCGCAGTTACTTCTGCATTTATTCTCATTATAAGTTCCCGCGTAGTCACAGTAATCACAGGTACCAGATGCATTATAAGCAGGCCAGTAGCGGCCAAGACTCTGTCCATTTAACCACACTTGACCTTTACCCATGCTAACCATATCAAGAGCCAATGGTGCAATTCCAGCTGGGGCGTCAAACGTAGTCTGTAATAATATGAAAAAGGACGTTGATCAAAGCCCAGCCTTACAACAAGTGTGTTGAAATTATATGGATTAGGTAGGAAAAGAGAAAATAGAGATCGAACAATCTTAAATTGACACTGATTTGATGTGATACAGAAGACAAATCACTCAACCATTTTTACACTAGCACTACTTTTAGTCCTAATACACAAACATCAAAGGGTAGGGAGGGGTTGGGGAATGAAAAGAAAGTAAACTCCGTTATTTTTTCCATAAAAACACCTCTCTACTTCTACCATTATAACTGGTACTATATATTACAACAGTAATAAAAGAGTACTATCTTAAGAACAGGTCAATATAAAAAAACATTAAGCAAAGCCTACATAGACTTCTGTAAGTTCAGAAGTTATAGAGGCTTTGTCATATACTCACTTTGTACCAAGTCAATGGCTGCATTTGAGGAATTAAATTCCCCTGAATCCACTCCACTGAGGAACTTCCACTGAGAGAATGAAGACTCAAGGCTTCGCCATTAAGACCAACCTAAATATAACATGCATTTGAATGAATTTCGAGCAAAATCAAACAATAGAAAGAGAAGACATGATTGAGTGTTTGAGGAAGAACCTTGTAAGACCATTTCTGCCAAGACAAGTCCCTTCTCCCCTCATTTAGACCATTTAATGTAATTGGGCCAAGAACACCGGCATTCCACGTTTCAAAATGAGGACCAACATTCTGCATATCAGTAACAGGTAGCAAGTGGGTAATATAGCCATGATCATAACCCACACTTCATGATTTTGAAACAGCTTAGTACGGAAATGCAAGGGTGTATCTAGCGATAACTTTTAGTGGGTGGGTGGGCGTGTGTGTATGAGAGAGAGAGAGAGAGAGAGAACAAACCGGGAGTCCAACTGCAACACTTAGAAGAGAGATTTTGTTAACACCAGCTCTGAGCTTCACACTCTTGCTAAATGTTAGTTTGGGGAATTCTAAGCTTCCATATATAGTTCCTGATCAAAAGAGGATGATAGGCTCAATGTATCAATAACAAAGCTCATGGAAAATTATTAGCTTCCAAAGTAAAATAGTTTATTTGGACTGTTTTAGAAAGAAAAGTCAAGCAAGAATGACAACTTGATGAAGCCTAGATATACTGATTCCATGCAATGTTCTAATTTATTGAATCCTTGAAACTCAAAAGCATGCATCAACTATAGTTAGCGATGACCCCTTCTTCCACTGAGACCTTACCAAGAAAAAGCACATTCATACAAGTTGAAGCACTGAGATTGTTCTTAGTAGTTGAATTTAGTGTTACTGAAATTCTGTAAACCAGTATTATGCATCTAACCTGATAGCTGACCATTGATGAAAACATGCAAAGCATGGCCAGCAGATAACACTGTGAGAACAGGATCCTTTCTGTTCCACAAAAATCCTTCGTTGGGATCAATCATGACACTAGCAAAAAAAGGAGCAAGACAAGTGTAAGACGCAGAAAAATGAGAATGAATAATAAGATTTATCAATTAAGTGTTCTAGCCAAGGATTGTAAGAGAAAAAAAATGAAGCAAACTGCAGAGTTGGATGTCACTCACTCCGTGGAGTACCACAAGTAGTCAGATAAATCTCTTGTGGTATTTAACTGCTCCAACAGGCCAGTCATGGTGAAGGAACTATCATCAGTAGAGGCTGTTTCTTCATTGAATGATTGCCAAGAGAGTCCACCATGAACAGGAACAGGAGTCATCTTCATCTGGGCACGCTGGGAACCAACCTGTAGAAAGATTTTGGAATTTTTATTTTGGTTGAAATCTGCCACTTGAAAAATCTCGAAAAGAATACCCTTCTTTTTCATTGAAAAGAAAAATTAGCCCAACAAGAGCATGTAAATATAAATAAGACACCAGGAAAATCTCATTCTTTTCCCTTGATACGTGTCTACTTTCATGACATAAAAAAGCTGATCTTGCAGACAAAACTATAACTGCATACAGAAAGTTATTAAATCAACTCAATCACATAAACTTGGTCCAGCTCTTCTGAAATCAAATCTCCATTACAAAGTATAACTAACCCAGCTAGTCATCGGAAATAAAAATTTGTTAATTTTTTTCTCACCCTTGCAGTGTTATAAACGGTGTTCTTGCAGTCAGGAAGAATGCTTATAGACCAAGGAGGCAAGTTGTAATGCATATTTCCAAATGCCACTGTTGCATAAGATTTAGGGTTATAGTTTGAAAGGAATGCAGCACAAGCTCCCGACTTTGATTTAAAGACATGAGCCTGGACATCGAAAGATAGAAATTCAGTCTGGTTATAAAGCATTTTAGATAGGATTGATAATTCTCACTTAACTGAATTGAGTTATACCTCTTGATAGTTTCCAATCCGTGTTACGGTGGGATCTCCAGATACTAAAGCAGGTTCAGAGAGTTTTATTGCTCTGTGTAAATCCTTCAGATGACCCCACTTCGGTAGCCTGAGCAATCCTGCACAGAGGAAGAAACAATATAACTCAAAATCATGCAAGAAACAAAACTAAGTACTCATTATTCAGGTGTATAAATGTACATCAAATATGCTAAGTTCTTCACATCAAGTATGAATGAATGAGCATTTCTAAGGCAAGGACCCTCCAATAGATGCGGAACTAGCATAACTGTCAATTATATTCATTTTGAAACCTGATTTATAAAATAAGACAAACCAAAGTACTGGTTGGCAGCAGAAATGTTTTGGTCGATATTACGTGTACCAAATTTTCACTGCCATACATCAATGAGGAGCAAAACATAGAAATATACCAAGCGCTATTCACAGGACTTACAAGTTACAACATAGAAAAAGTGATGCAAATTGATTTGGATTATTGGTTAGCATGAAAGGAACAGCAGCAATGTTCTATTATACTACGCCTCATATTAGTAAGGAACAAAGGATGTTTCACAGATTATATTTTGAGATTTATTCCCTGTAGGTCCTACATAAAAATGGGAAAAAAATATCATAATATCAGTACTTATTGGCCATATCAGGCATTAAAATCCTTTGTGTTTACCATATTCATCAATAGGTGCATCATAATCATAGCTTGTAGCAATAAAAGGACCACCGGCAGTTCGACCAAAATTTGTCCCCCCATGAAACTGAAATGAACAAAATAAAGTGACTCAGTTGAAAATTTAAGATGGTGAACCAAAACATTGAAATCAATCAATAATGATGTTACCATGTAATAATTGACAAATGATCCCCCTGTCTGTATAAACCTTGCAACTGAGAATGCCAAGTCTTCAGCAGGTCGATGAGGAACTGGACCTCCAAACTCAGTAAACCTGCAAGCATAAAAAGGAATAGAGGGAATGAATATCTCTAGTTTGTATGTTTCTTATTTTTATGGAAACTTAAGAAATAAGAAACAAAGCATCAATACCAGCCAGTCCAAGCTTCTGTCCACATCTTTGGTTTGTAAGCCTTATTTGGAGAGAAATAATCACAATAGAAGCCATTGCACGTGTTAATCTGTAAAATATTTCACATCGAAATTAGAAGGTGAAATCCTTGGAAGCATAAAGGACTGCTGTAAAGAACCATTTCACCCAAAAGCTTAAGCTTGTAAGTGAAGGCCCATCAATGGTTTTTATATTTCTCTAACAACTGCAACAAAATAGTTGAGGCTTTAAATATCACCCTTTCTAGTATCCTCACCCTGGAAAAAGAGCTATGGAAATAGAGAATGTGTCTATAAAAGGTAAATATGTTTCTTCAAAAGATACACTTCAGCTGAACTTACAATAGGATCAGGAGCATCATCTTGCTTGCACATTATCCATGGAACTCCAGTACCAAGTCCTACAGCCATATCTGCTGCCCACTCAGTGTAGGTTTTACCAAGAGCACCAATTTCATACTCCATAGGTCCATATTCATTTTCAATCTGCACAAAAACACCAGCAGAAAAAGTAATAGTCTGAGTACACATCTCCACTCTAGTCAGGGAATGAAAAGCTAATCAAAAAATGAAATCTACAGGATAATCTAAAGCAAGTGATTGGATTAAGTACAAGGCTAGCATAATATTTAGTGCACCTGGGATAGAATTATTGGACCACCCTGAGACTCATATAACCTTTCTGCTTGCATCATGTCCACAATCTTCTTGGTAAATTTTTGCATTTGAAACTTCAATGCCAATGTAAAAATCAAAAGTAATTAGAACATACTCACAATAATGAAAAAGGAGATGATTGAGAAAAATTTTAAGCTATAAAGGATGAAAACAATTCTTACTTTAAATGGTTCGTTTTCTGTTCTGAAGCTGATACCTGGAATGTACTTCAGCCAAACTGGGAAACCCCTGAAAATTAATCAGGCAAAGCTGTTAAGATATCTCTATTTTGACATGTACCGACATTTTTGCCAATGTCAAGAGGAAAATAACACTTTCACTACCCGAAGTTCCACTCAGCACAGACATAAGGACCAATCCTCAGATGAACATAAAGGCCTGCTTGCTGCACCAACTTTATGAACTTCACCAAATCATAGTTCCCCTCAAAATAATACTACAGTAATCAAGAAAAGAAGAACATTGGTTATTTATCGCCAATCACTCACAACCATGCACTGTTGAAACTGAACAAGCAAAACAAGAAGGCATTATCTATTATTAGTTACTTGGCCAGGTGAAGGTTCATGACCATTCCAGAAAACATAAGTTTGAATCACATCCAAACCTCCTTCCTTGGCCTTCTGAATAAGATCTGGCCACATCTGAAAAAGAAACGCACAACTAAGGAATGCAAATCACATAAAAACAGAAAAAGGAAGAAACTTTAAGGTACCCATTTAATAAAAACAAGAGAATATCAGGAACAGGAAAGGACCCTGAAGCACATTTGAGACTAATACCTCAGGGGTGCTTCTTGGGTAATGAATGGATCCAGAAATGAGGATCCTTCTTTGGCCATTAATGGTGATAGCCTTGGAGTCATAGGACACAGAGGCTGTGGAATAACCAATCAAAGAACATGCCAGCAGCAGTGGCAGCAATAACACATTCCACATTTTGAGCTCAAAGCTCAATGCCATTATTGAATAGTAAACCTTCTCCCTAAGCTTGGTAAAGCAAAACCAATAACCTGCTACTGGTGGATGTGGTTATTATATGCTCTCTACAAAGCTTACAGAAAGAAACAAACAAGGAAATGTCTTTGGTTATTCTCTTCTTTCTCTAATCTAATCTCTCCTTTCTTTTCTTTTTGCAGAATGATAATTGAAGAAATGGACAGAGAAAGAAAAAAATGAAATAAAAATAAGCTGAGAGTTTCAGAGAGGCAAATTATGTTTGTTATTTTGCCCTTTTTTTTTTTTTTTTTTTTTACAAAATCACTTTAATTTGAAGATTTTTTAGTAGGAAAATGGAGGTGGCTTTTAAAGAGAGAAATGTGGAGTGAGGAGTGAGGAGTGTGAAGTGTGAACTGTATGGCATTGAAAAGAGAATGGGACCCACTTTTCGGTGAACTCTCTTACGCACACCTGACGTGGACCTTAGCTCTATCAAATCCAATAAATATCAATTTTTGAAGCACATTTTCAGTGCTATTGTTGTGTAATGTGTATTACAGATTACGTATTCCCTCTTCTTCTTCCATTTTTTATTTTGGTCGGATATAAATACTACGATAGTATAATTAGATGTTTTTTAATTTTTTCTTTTTTATTTCATTGGCTTCTCAATTCTTTAATAATTTGTTAAAAAGTTTAACCCAAAAAAAAAATATAAATTCAAGTTAAAGGCGTGTTTGATTGATGAGATACAAGTTGCTCCATCAAACAATGATAGCTCAATTGTTGTATTAAGATATTGAGTAGATATATGTTTGATACTTCTCGATATCATTTTGAAATGGATTTAAAATTTTAATCTTGAAATTCATTTCAATCAAATTAGTCACGAAAATATTAATCAATTAAAATATTTAAAAAAAAAAATAAGAGAAGCAAGTTGGTCCAAAACGAGTTTTAAGTTATCGTCTGAAAGTGTCAGAAAGAAAAGATTCTACAGCCAATCCCAATGTGGTCGGTTCCTATGTCGTCCGCCCTATGTGTATGTTTTGGGCTTTACATACCTTCAATTCCACGCACCCCAGCCCCACGTGTCTCACACTACTTTTACATGAAAAAAAGGTTAATATGTTATTTGAATATGAGCTAGTTTTCAGGAGTAATTTTTTATGAGATGTTAAAATGGATGGATACGAATTTGACTTGATATGAATATACGCAATATAAATATGACATAAGTTTTATTCATATCAAAATATTCAACATAAATTTTTTGCAAGTTGATACGAATGACACATAAATTATGAGTCAAAATGCTAATTGACAAGAAATTAAAAAAAGGTCAAAATTTAAAAAAAATTAAAAAGTAAAAAATAATAATATAAATAATTAAAAAAAATACAAGTTAATAGAATTTGACACAAAACTGTAAGCATTACATCAGTAATTCAATAATTCATGTTCAACTATATTCATTCAAGAACATGAAATAGGATCTCTAGAATTTATGAGTTTCACATATACATACCTTTATCCATAAGTGCGGAATATCTTTTCCAGTAGAATCATTTCTCGGAGCCTTAAACCTTCACTGTTCTTGTATCTTCTTTGATAGGGATAGAATACAACTTTCATAGGCAGACCCATATGGAACGTTATTTTCTGTCAGACACCCTTAATCAGAAAACTGACCATATGACTCTTATATAGTTGCACCTATCAGTAGTTATGCTTTTACTAACTTCCCTTAATAGTCAAATTATCATAATCCTCTTTTATTAATTAAACCAACTGACACGTAATATTACACATGAGACAAATAGTTTTACATTCTCCCACTTGGCTCATGTCATGAGGTGTCCATTCATGATTTAATCAACATTCATTATAATGCACATTTACTAGGCTAAAGGTTCCATACATTGACCTCATCATAATTCATTATTAGAAATAAAATCAACATGAGTTATGGTGGTTGTATGCTATCAAGTCGGTATAGTCCCTTCCATGTACCACTATATTGACTCTTCTTCCTAACATGATACTTTAATAGGAAGTACACATTATGTCCAACAATAATGTCTTCATTACGGATCATAAACATTTTCAATATCATCATATATACTTGCATGCATACATAAATTGAAAACAAGACAACATCAGAAACATATATTCATCAATGAGCTCAGAGTGTCAATACTTAATATATAACAATAATTATCATCATTCATTAGCTGACATAATGCCAATTCTACATACATGACCAGTAAATGTCTTGGGCGGTAATCCCTTCGTCAAGGGATCAGCTATCATAAGATCAGTGCTAATATGCTCTATAGACACTCTAAGTTTCTGAATCTCTTCTTTAACGGCAAAGTATTTCAATTCCATATGTTTAGCAACTTTGGAATACTTGTCGTTTTTAGAAAAGAAGACTGCTGCGGAATTATCATAATAAATTTTCAGCGACTTTTCAATATTGTCGATCAATCCAAGCCCTGAAATAAAGTTTCGTACCCATTTAGCCTGAATCGTGGCTTCAAAGCATGTCACAAATTCAGATTCCATAGTGGACGCAGCAATTACAGTCTGCTTCGCACTTTTCCATGATATAGCTCCTTCAGCTAAAAGATACAGGTAACCACATGTAGACTTTCTTGTGTCTACATGTCCTGCAAAATCCAAATCTGTGTATCCAATCACTTCAAGGTTGTTAGACCTTCTATAAGTAAGCATGTGACCTTTAGTTCCTTGCAAATATCTCAGAACTTTCTTTGCAGCTTTCCAATTATCCATACCGGGATTACTTTGGTATCTACCCAACATCCCAACTGCAAAGCTAATATCTGGTCTCGTACAAGTCTGAGCATACATTAAGCTCCCAACTAATGATGCATACGGAATTGCTTCAATTTCTTTTCGTTCCAATTCACTTTTAGGACATTGCATGAGACTAAATTTATCTCCTTTCTGAATTGGAACTGGAGATGATGAGCAGTTTTCCATTCTGAATCTCTATAGAACTATATTAATGTATGCTTTCTGAGACAAACCTAACAGTCCTTGTGATCTATCACGGAATATTTCCATTCCTATCACATAAGTTGCCTCACCCATATCTTTCATTTCGAAATTACTAGAGAGAAACTTCTTAGTCTCATTTAAAAGACCAAGATCGTTAGTTGCAAGCAAAATATCATCAACATACAGAATCAATAAGATAAACTTGCTCCCACTGATCTTCAGATATATACATCGATCAACGATGTTTTCTTTAAATCCAAAAGAAACAACAGTATCATTAAACTTAAGGTACCATTGCCGTGAAGCTTGTTTAAGTCCGTATATTGACTTCTTAAGTTTGCACACCATGTGCTCTTTACCCTTTTCTATTAACCCCATTGGTTGGTCCATGTACACATCTTCATCTAAATTTCCATTTAGAAAGGCAGTTTTTACATCCTTTGGTGTAACTCCAAATCATAATGAGCCACCAATGCCATAACAATTCTTAGAGAATCCTTCTTTGAAACTGGTGAAAAGGTTTCTTTATAGTCAATGCCATCTTTCTGAGTGAATTCTTTTGCAACCAGTTTCAAAGAAGGATTCTCTCAATGCCATCTTTCTGAGTGAATTCTTTTGCAACTAGTCTAGCCTTGTGACGTTCCAAGTTAACATGAGAGTCACGTTTGGTCTTAAAGACCCATTTACAACCAACTCTCTTTCACCCTTCTGGTAACTCAACAAGATCCCAGACCTTATTCTGTTCCATAGATTTCAACTCATCTTTCATGGCATCTAACCACTTATCACCATTTTCTCCATTCATGGCTTGTGAAAATGTTACTGGATCATCCTAAATACCCACGTCAAAATAAGACTCTTGTAGGTATACCACATAATCATCAAAAATAATAGGTCTCCTTTCTCTTTGAGATCTTCTTAATGCTATTTGTTGTGGTTCTTCTACTATGGGTTCATTCGGTTCATCAACAATGATTTCTTCATGAGTAGTGGGATCATTAACTCGTCCTTCATTATTATTGATTGGTTCAATAGCATGAGGAATAATAACTTTACTAGAGCTACAAGGTAATGGAATTTGTACTCTCACTTCATGAATATCCACTTTACGTGGTGTTTCACTCTCACTAACTTCACCATTCTCAATGAACCTTGCATTTTCAGATTCAATAATCCTTGTAGTATGATAAGGACAGTAAAATCTATACCCTTTCGACTTTTCTAGATAACCAATGAAATAACCACTGATTGTCCTTGCATCCAGTTTCTTTTCTTGCGGATTGTAGTATCTAATCTCTACCTGACAACTCCAAACATGCAGGTGTCTTATACTAGGTTTCCTTACAGTCCAAAGTTCAAAAGGAGTCTTTGGAACTGACTTACTAGGAACCCTATTCAATACATACATGGTAGTTTTAAGAGCATAAGTCCACAACGAAACAGGTAAAGAAGAATTACTTAACATACTCCTAACCATATCCAGTAAGGTCTTATTACTCCTTTCTGATACACCATTCTGTTGCGGTGTACCGGGCATTGTGTATTGAGCACAAATACCATGCTTTTCCAGAAATTTAGCAAATGGACCCGGATGTTGTCCACTTTCATCATACCTTCCATAATATTCACCACCCCTATCAGACCTGACAATTTTCACCTTTCTGTCTAACTTTCTTTCAACTTCATTAATATAAATCTCAAAAGCATTTGCAGCTTGAGATTTATCATGGAGCAAATAGACATAACCATAACGTGAATAATCATCAATGAAAGTGATAAAATATTTTTCTTTATTGAAAGCATTAACATCAAACGGACCACATACATCAGTGTGTATAATTTCAAGAAGCTGAGTGCTCCTTGTGGCTCCTTTCTTTGTGTGTTTTGTTTGTTTTCCTTTAATACAATCCACACAAACATTTAAATCAGTAAAATCTAAATCCGGAAGGATTTCATTATTTACCAATCTTTTCATTCTTTCTTTGGAAATGTGTCCCAAA